GAGTTAGGGTTGCAACTGGTAGTTCAGAAGGATGTATGAATTCATTGTTCAATGTCCCTTTGATCAAGCTATTGAGTTGGCTAAACTTTTCAAAAATACATTTCAAGAAGTCCGCCCTTATTTAGCGTCATGCTCCTCCAATAATATCCCTTTTTTCCATCTATCTACAACCACTTATTCCAAGCCTTCCTAAACAGCCGTCTTCCAAACCTTAGTTAACCATAAAAAAGTTAGACCCTGCTCAAATTTATAAACAAACATGATACGGTCTTTTGTTTTAATTGTGATGAAATGTTTCATTGAAAACACATTACATAAGCAAGATGTTCTTTCTTTTGCTTGATCCAAAAATTTCTTCCATGCAAATCAATTATTAAGAATTACTCATTACTTAGGACCATTACTCCGCTAGCCCAACCTAACACACTACATGCTTTTTACATTGATGCAACTCTTTACAATTTCAAAATTCAAAGTCTTATTTTATAGTGGTTCAACCCGCAATTTTATTCATGAATGGTTGAATTCCTCTGTTTACTCATCATGCCAACCACCCAATCTCAATTCCTTGTAGTTTATGATGGCAGTCTAATACTCAACCTTCTAGGTGACTAATTCGAAGTTGAATATACTGATCATGCCAACCTCTCCATTTCAAGTCATTGTAGTTTATGGTGACAATGTTAGATATACCTGCAAATATTGTGGTCTAATAGTCCACCTTCTAGGTAAGTAAATTGAACTAGACTGTTACATCTTGCCAATTTAGGGCGTGGACATTGCTCTTGATGTTCAATGACTACATTAAATGGGTAACATCATTACCAATTATTTTTCTCCAACTCTTAAGTTTTCCTCATTTTGATTCTTTTGTTTTGCTTCTAGACCGTAAGCGTCTTCATCTTGAACAAATTCATTTGAACCAATTTTTCATATTGTCTGTCTAGGGATCAATTTCATCTTACTTTCACCTAGTTGTCAATTTACTTGCTAATCCAAACACTATCATAGCACTGTCGGTATACTATCCTCTTTTACAGCATTTTTTAGTGACCCACACTTTTTTATTCATTGAGCCTAATTTATGCCCTTACATTGCCTCCACGACCATCAAATTCACTCAAACCTAATTCCTCTTTGATTCATGTTCGTTTATATCACCCATTTTCAAAAAATAATAATCAAGCATTAGTTGAGGAAATGCTACAATCTTGTCTTAATTCGACTCTGTCAAATCTCTTTCTCATTATCGATTTTTTTTGGTAAAAAAAGATGATACATGACACTTTTATGTGCATTATTGCGCTCTAAATCAATCCAACAATTTTTATAAGTCTTTTTTTATTCCAACACTCAACAAAAATGCTTGACAAGTTTCATGTCATGTCAGCATACACAACATTAGATGCGCTTGTGTTATCATCAAATTTATTGGCAATCCTGGACCTACAAAATACAGCATTTCATGCTCATAACAATGATTTTGAGTTCCCTGTAATTCTATTGGGCTTCAAAAATGCACTTGGAACTTTTTAAAATATTATGAGTATAATTTTTAAATTTTGCTTTTTTACAATTTTTTTATTTATTGTTTTCTAATCATTGCCGACCCCACGTAGTGGGATTAAAGCTTTGTTGTTGTTGTTGTTGTTGTTGTTGTTTTCTAATCATACCACTTTGAACTTCTAAAACTGGTTTTTAGTTGTCTACAAGACAATTTATTCCATCTACAAAGATTAAAATTGTAATTTGATCAACCATCAATTTAATACTTAGGTCATGAAGTGTCCATGGAAGGCGTCCTGCCCACATCGAGCAAGATTACTATCATTCTCTAGTGCCAATCTGAATTAAAGAAATGCTCAACATGGATTTTTGGATATGGCGGATTTCTACTGATTGTTAAAAAATTTTGTTGATATCACTGGATAATTGATTGCCTTGCTGCAATGGGATGCATTCAAATGGTTTATCTTTGCCCAGCACGCCTTCAGTTTTCTAAAAGTGAACTTGCTATCCCATCAATGTTATACAACGAAAAAATTAAGTCCACAAATGCAGCAAGCTTCCAGATTTGCTAGGGAGAAATTGGCCACCAACAAAATTATGATAAATGTCATCAATATCTATTGGGCTTTAAATTTAGTATTTGTATACACCAGAAAACATCCTTGATTTAATGACCCAAGTCATCTCAACACCGGAACAATGATAATTTCTATTAAACTGCTTGGTCATGACTTCTCCATTTACTGAAAGCTAAGTTCGATAAACAAAGTTGCAGGCATATTTTCTTGTATCCTGAACATTATTTTTGTGCTACATTCCTCTCCACAACTCTTGAATTTCATAAACACACCAATTTCAATTCCTACCGAAACATTAAAATGGAAAATAACATCTATTCAGAGTTTTGTTTAAACTCTAGTCGCTGATTGAAGCCAACCTAATCAGTTCTCAGCATATTCAATTCAAGATGGGCTTATAAACTACATTCAAGAGTTTATAAAAATTGCCTAATTTACCGAGCAACAAAATATTAGCCGTTTGCTCTAATCGATCTCCTAGACCCCCACCAATTTCCATTACAGCTTGGGACAAGATCACCATGGATTTTATCATTCGCCTTCCACCATCCAATGATAACTCTAACATTCTGACAGCCTAACAAATTGACTAAATATCCAAGATGTCTATCCACTTCATATCATTCCCAAGACGATAATTTTGGATAGGGATGGAAATTTAGTGGCCAATTTTTTTTGGTAAATGGGTACTACTCTTCATTACAATATTTCTCAATACTCGAAAATCCATGGTCAAAGCAAACTGACAAATCGAGGCCTTTAATAATATTTTTAAATCATTTGCATACCCATATGTGCTAGGTATTGAGCTCGAGACTTTATTGTTGGAGACAAAACTCCCTACCATAGGCTTAGTGTGCTGCACAAGCTTTAAATATTTGTATTGCCATGTAATGGAGAACCCACACAATTTGACTTAAGTTTCTTCTTGGGGCTGAATACTCATATAAGACTTTGCACTTGTTTATAAGCACGTCTAACTTTTGGGCGCTATATGGAACATTGGTCATTCATCTTCCATGGACTCTGCCAATGGTTGTTGCAACACCGTGACCCTTTTTAACAATATCTTCGAGCACTCCATTTGGTCACAATAACATATGAAACTATTGGCTTACAAGTAATAGCAAGACCTCTAGCTTGGCATTAGTTTGACTAACTTTTGTTAATTACAGGCTTGCAGACAAATATCAATGCGTGATTATCACTTCTCTAAACTAACTCATCATTATTTTAGCCTAGTTTTGGTGTTTGAACATATTGTTCAGACCTATGACTTATAAACTTCAACTTCCACAACATTCCCAAAGCCATTCTGTCTTCTACTTCTCCCTTTATAAACCTTTTATTGAAAATACGAAATTGCATGATGCTTGGTTAAACCAAGTTTTTATTCTACCAACTGCAATTATCAGTTCAAGGCTAATACTGTAAAAGATCAGTTCACAATGATTACTTCTCATCTAATGGTTTGTCCTGCCCACTAATTATGTCATGTGGATCAATTTTGAAGACTGCCGAACGGTGAACTCGGACTTTAACCTTAAGGACAAGGTTAATTTTCAATGGAGGAATAGAATTAATATGTCCAATATGATGTCCTTTGACAATGGGACTAGCATGTTAGTAAGCTATGAATGAATACTATGAGCTCATCATTCATCGGCAAAGTAAAGGATTATTTCTTAGGGAATCATAAAAAGCTTGTTGTTTTATGGGTGTATAAAATAGGGGTCACTTTTTAATTTTTGAAAGTCTGTTAGAGGGAAGGATCGTTGTTATGATTTTATTGGTTTTCTTTTTGCTGTTAGTTAGAGTCATGGACACATGTGAGGACTTTTTTCAAACAATGCTGGGTAGAGCCTGTGAGGAAAGAAGAGCTCGACTTTCTCAAGACAAGGATCTGCAGAAATTTTAATATATATTCAATATCTTATTCCTCAATTGTTTCTCTGTTTTTTCCATTCTTCCTCCCCAAGCCATTGAAATCCAATCGACTTCTGCCCTTCAGTACTCCAGAGTCTTTTGGTGAAGTTTGAATTTGCCATTTATTGTATTAAAATTTGCATTTGATTTACAGTTATCTTTTTGAACAAGTGTTAGGCATGTTTTTCTTTTTTCTTTAAGTGAAGTCTTTTTATCCCTTAAAATTTGTTATGGATTTATCGTGTGATTAATTTCATTCAAATTTGATACAATCCAATTTTCATCAAGTGCGTAGATTTCAACTTTTTGTGTTTTCAGTGAAATCAACAAATAATTATTGAAGATTGAAAGTTTCCTTTGAATTTTTGCGTTCGCTTTTTATGATATTCTACATCTCATAATAGGCCTGTATTAGGAACCCTAGAGTCCTAACATGTCTTACGTTATAAGTCATCTAATCAACAAATCATCTCTGTAAATTTATATTGCATCAACTTGTCAATGATTTAGTTGTTCTATAGAGTGTGCAAATGGTGGCCTTTGATCATAGTCCCTGGTTATTGATGAATTATATTTCTCTTAAAATTATATTTTTGGCTGGCTCCCCAAGGCACACAGGTAGGAAGAGTTATTTTATGACTAGGAGGTGGATTGTGGTTTGAGAATGCTGCTTGAAACATTGTACAATTGTTCTTGGCCGGATTATTTGACTAGAGGGAGAGAGCCAACTTTCTAGAGGCAGCAATAAGTAAATATTTCTTTTTCCCATTCTTGCTCGTACATTCACCATCCAGCTATGAACCAACAGGAAAGAAGTGCCCCTTGTTATAGTTCAAAATTTTATATCTTATTTAAATTCTAATTATTGTTAATTTTCTCTTGCAAAAGCTCGGGTGTATCCATCTTTCTGACCAAATTTCTATGTTCTTCTTAATTTATATCCTGGTGATTTTATTTTGTAAAACCTCATGCCTTCTTGACTTGCAGGGTGAGTTTCATTCTCAAAGCTTCATACCAGGGGAGTCGCTTATGTCAGCCAAAGGGCATCTAAAAGATCTGAGAAATGCTCTATTAACATCAAAAGAACTACTCAAAATTCTTAGCCGCTTCTGGGAACCAGCTGAGCAGCATAACTTGCCATTCACTGTTTTTTCAGCTATTCGTACTGAAGTAGAGCAGGCCATTTTTAATGTCGATCAACTTTTCCAAGAACAGAGATCTATATGCAGCGAACTTAACTGCTTGAAGGAGAAACTTGTTTTTGAAATCCAAATGTTTAAGAACAAGGAACGAGAACGGTTCAGCCTTTCTTTACAATCCATCATGAAGGAACTCCAGTCTGAGAAAAAGCTAAGTAGAAGAGTGAAGAGACTGAATGAAAAGCTTGCAATGGAGTTGGCTGAGACGAGGGCTTCTTTACTACAGGCAGGTAATGAACTTGCAAGTGAGAGGAGATCAAGAGAGATATTAGAACATGTTTGTGATGAGCTTGCAAAGGGGATTGGTGGGGAGAAGGCAGAAGTTGAAGAAATGAAAAGGGATTCAACTAACGTCCTAGAAAATTTAGAGAAGGAAAGGGAGATGCTTCAGCTTGCAGATGAGTGGCGTGAGGACTGGGTGCAGATGAACCTGTCCGAAGCTAAGCATCAATTTGAGGAGAAGAATGCTGCCGTTAATCAATTAAGGAACGAGCTTGAAGCATTCCTAACCAATGGAATGGGAAGTGGTGTTGGAAAAGGACGTGATGCTCCTGCAAGAGATTCGGAGCATGAGGAAGAAAGAACAGTTTGTCCAAGCAAGACGTGATGCTCCTGCAAGAGATTTGGAGCATGAGGAAGAAAGAACAGTTTGTCCAAGCAAGGTTGATGAAACAGTAGAGGATGAAGAAAAAGAAAGTACCGGGGAACTTTCAGAGGATTGCGATCTCCACTCAATAGAGCTCAACATGGACAGCAAAAGCAGAAGTTTTAATTGGAGTTATGCTACTGGTTCCACTGTCTTTGGCAGAAGTTTTGAAGAAAGTAATGAGGGTGGAAGTGAAAATAGTGATAAGGAATTTAAGAGCAATGGGGATGTGAAAGAAGAAAGCTCCAGAAAGAACTCTCTAGTTTTTTCTCGTGATTGGCGGCAAGGAAGGCTCTCTAAGAGCAATGCTAGCATAGATGAGGATGCTGAGAGATACATTTCTGTGAAGGAGCTAAGAGATCGCCTATTAGCTGGTTCGAGGATTAATCTGCCTCCAGGCATGAGAGGTCCATGCCGGCAATGGAGCAGAAGCACAAACCAGCAACAGGGGAGGCTGAAAGGTTTCCATGATTCAGAGGAACGACTTTGTGAAGGATTAAAGGTTGCTGATTTGGTCAAGAAGCTAGAACGAGATCAGAAATGAATTCTGGAAGCTTTAATAAAAATGAACACCGAAAAAAAGTAGGGATTATTTTGACAGTTTTCTTCTTTAATGATACTACCTCCCAACAATTCATTCTGGGTAATTGCAAGCTTCACAATATTTGTGCTGTTGTTCTGTCTCAAAGCTGAGGTCATTAAGCTATTCTCGTTTCTCTCTGCCTTGTGACGTTTCTCTCTGCCTTGTGAGGTCATGATCTTTTGTTTTTTGTTGGACTAGGTAAAAATATCTTGTATAGAACTTTTGTGGTTTTAGCCACTCCACTCAACATAGTTTTATTCGAGTTCTGTTTTGATGTTTGCTTGGTGCATGGCTATGATGGCTATTTATGTTTTTGCTGATAAAAATGAATATTTTGTGTTCCCAAAACATGTAAATGTAAGAAGGGATTAGTTTTGCAAGTAATCTAGACTTCTTGCATTAGTTAAAACATATTAGCCGTAAGAAAATTATTATCCTACTTGAAGAAAAAAAAACAATTGTAATACCATGACAGCTTTAGAAATAAAATGCTTTCCCTATTGCATTTTTAGAACCATCATTACCAAAAATTGCATTCCCTCAAACTTAACTTTAACCATTATTATAATTTTTGAACTGAGCCATCACTAGTCATAGTTTCATAAAGCATGACTTGAAAGTAATTTAATGCTTGATGATATACGAACTACAAAGATTATTGCATTGAGATGACAGATGATTACACAAATTGTGAGATGAAAAATAAAAGAACCTTTCTTAAAACATACATACATGATAACAAGTAATGCTGATGGGAACATACACTGACAGTCCATCATGCATCACTCTGGAAAAACTATTAAATCATCATGAAATTCTTATTCTATCATTTTATTTTATTTTTTTTAATTTCTGCATACTAATTGAAACGATCTACAGCTGGTTCCTTCCCTTGAATTTTTTAAACTTTCAAAGGAAAAAAAGACTGGAGGCAGCTAAGTGATGATAATGATGATGTTCATGCTAGATCTACAAGCATTAGTAGCAGAACTATGCACTCCATCATATGAATTGTGTCAATGCAATATAACTTCTCAAATGATGGCATTCAGGAGTACATATTATTAGAGACTTCTTTCTAGCATCTCCCTGTACCTTTTGAAAGACTCCTGCTTCTGTATCTTCATCTGCCTGTGGAACCTTCTGATGAACACATCAGCAACAAGGTCAATCTCATCTTCAAGTCTGAACTCCTTGCCATCCTCCCTCAAATTCCTTACTAGATCTATGACAGATCCAGTTCCATTCATCAGCTCATCATCATCATCATCTTCATCTTCCAAATCAAAGAGTGAGTGACGAAGGTCCGGATAGTCATCGTCTTCATCTTCAATTTCCCTCTGCTCCAAAATTTCCATGTGTCTCGCATTCAAAGCCTCCTCCTCCGCTGCATTATTGTAAAGCACAATTGCCTTGCTGTAGTCCTCTTCATTCTGGGTATGCTTTCCTTTCTCCTGTCTCATAAGAGCATGTATCCTATGGTTTATTGCACTCATCAGAAGTTTTTTGTTGCGCAGGAGCCCAAAGATGAGGAGCCTGGCCTTAATGGCGCTGCTTCGGCTCGTCGCTATGATGGACTTCACCTTTGCCATGGTCGCTATGAAGGAGAACGTCTGCTTCATGATGGCTGAAGCCTTGCCTCTCATCCTAGAAGCTCGGTGGTTGGACAGTACCCAGCAGGGAATGGAGGAAGGAAGAGGACTCACAAGCTGAGAATCAAAATTCTCTGCCATTAAACTCGCAAGAATGAGCAAATGCCGAGATCTGTTTGGTTACCAGAACTTTGGATCTGGACTGAAGAGATGGATTGTGGATGCGTATTATCAAGCAGCAAGAGACATGGAGCTGGTGTTGGATATACTGAAGGGTATTTATAGAAGTCCCAACTTGAGATGCCCCTCCATTTTGAGAGATATTTTAGAGGGTTTGGAAGAGTGGGCGCTAAGAAAAGTTGTTTAGAGTTCAAAGTGATTGTGAAAAAGAAAAGAAAAGGACGGCAAAAGCAGCCATGAGAAGACCACCATAGCTGGTTTTCTTGGTTTGGTGTTCTCTTTATTGGATACCTTGCCGTGATGACAGATGTCATGGACCCCAATGTTCAAGTCCCTTTTTGTAAACAATTTTAAATTTTAGGGGCATTTACGCAGCACACAATTCTTATGTAGTTACATTTCTCAAACCTAAATTTTCATATTTACACCCAGCACTCAAAATTATAATATGGCAAAAAAATAGCACTTCTATCACTTCTTAAAAATGAAATACAAATTTGCATGCAGTATGTTTAGAGCACCAAAGTGCTGTAAATTATGAAAGTTTAGGTGAAATGAGGAGATTGTTGATTCTGTATAATATTGAGAACTGTTGCAAGTTTGTTAGAAGATTAAAGGTTACACGTGTGAAACATTAATAAGCAACAGAAAAACATCATGTGGAAATCCATAGAAGGATGAATGGTAATTTTTTGTATGCATTTAATGGATAGTTCAAAGCCCTATTATGCATGGTTTTTACTCATGTTTCAGATGTATAGTCCCTTATGATCTTGAGAAATTATTAGATGTGTAGGCTAACTGTGAATGTATAGCTATTTATTTGTTTAATTGGAGGGCGCAGCCTTGAACTCTTTTGTTCTAGTACAATTATATATATATATATATATGAGATAATGGTATCCAATCTAAGTTTAAATTATAAATATATATATGAGATAATGGTATCCAATCTAAGTTTATGGAACATCATTTGTGTTGTGAATATGGAAACCGGTCCACTCTTCAAATTAGCATTTTCTCATGTTTGATAACAAATTAGATTTGATACTTGAAATTAATTGTTAAATTAATTGTTCTTAATCTCTTCTATGATTTCTCTTCTATGATTTGCTTTCTATGATTTGCTGCAGAAGAGAAAATGAAATTATTAATTTTTTGATTAATTTCTTAATGAGACTAATAGCATGAAAGAATTAATAAATAGACATGCAAACTTCTCTTGTTAACACTCTCGAGATTTTGTTTCTCAGGCTTCCTCTTGGACATTAGTAGTTTTTCAGGTTCTTCTTCTAGCATGCTTCGGTTTGAAGCTCTCGGGTAGAGAGAGATAGAAAAAGAGGATGAGGAGACAGAAAGAGTTTTTTTTTTTTTTTGTAATCGTCGAAATGATCGACGGGTATTATTCATCAAAGTAACAAAATCCTCTGCAGCTCCGTGAACGTAGGCATTTTGTCGAACAATGTAAATCTGTGTTTTTCCGCTATGTTTTTTTGTTTTGCGACTTTTTCTCGATCCGATTTTTTGCTTTATTGTCATCATTTTTCACAACAATTTGCACATTATTAGTTCAAGGAAATTGGATAAGAAAATTAAGCGAAATAGCTATATATTCTATTAATAATATATGCAATAAAATTTTTTTGAAGTTATTATAAAATCTTACAAATATTCAATCGATATTTTGGCCTTAAAAAGGATAAAAAATAAAAAAATAAAGATAGAAAATTAATTCTTTTAATCCAACTAAAACTAATCGTACTTCAACTTAGTTTTAATTCACATTTTCTTGATGTATTGTCGGTTAAATTTGGCACGTGAAGAACTCTCATGCCGCACTCTTGACTTTTCTTTTTTATATTATTTTAATTAAAGTTTTATTTATATTATAGTTATGTGTATCTTCCATGAATGTTATCATTATAAGTAACATACGGATTGAATAGTTTATCTTTCTTTTCAAATTCTATAAAAGCTTGATATTGTTTTTGAAACATTTCAAACAAAATTTACCAACATAACCTTAATCTATCTAACAACCTAACATCAAACTTAGTGTTGATTTTTATTAGGAAATTTACCTACATATCAAACAATTTTTATGTATTTACTTAGATGTCTGACATCCAAAGTTTGATATTTACACTTATGATATATTGGTGTCATAAACCTATGCATGAAAGATGTTTGTTGTATTTAAAGATGGAGATGGTGGTATTTTTGATGTTGTACATCCAGAAGGTTCTAGTGTTGATCTCTCAGAAATGTAATTGTCCTAAACAAGGAAGCGTGATGAAGTAAGAACTCTTGCAAGAAGTTCACGGGACCGGTCAAGCCGACCGAGCCAAGTCAACCGACGCGGGGATGGCAGACTTGTACTAATCAAGCAGCTCACCTGGAAATCGAGCATCTGGATCTTTAACCAAGAGAGAGCCAACTCAATGTAGAAGTTTATCCCGTAAAAGAGCCGACTCGACAGAAGGGTCGTTTCCACAAAGCATCCTTGACCATCCAGAAGAGACCAAATGACTTATCACAAGAAGCAGGATCTTTGAGCCCATCAAGTTTGGGGGTGTCAGCCAAGACGATTGATTTTTACCAACCAAGATTGTCGACCCAGCAGAGTGGACCTATCTTAGCAAACCGAGTTGGGATAATCCAGCCAAAAACCGACTAGATAATGTGCCATCATTTATAAAATACCTGAAATACCTAGTGTAAACTCCATCTAAATTAGGGCAAAAATGTAATATCACATTTGTGCTAATTCATCTTTAAATAGAGATAGTATTTTATGAAGAAGGTTCTACGATTTTTACTGTTTATTGAAGAGATTATAAATCCACACACACACTCTCTCTCTGCCTCTATCTTTCCACTCTCCTTTCACGCTCTATTCTTTGGGTATAATTCACGCACAATTTTCAATTCAACATTCTAAAATGTGTGGTAAACAAGGATCAAAACACAAATAAAAGGAACAAATCAAAGAGAAGAAACTCACAATAAGGAGACCAACAACATTGAGTGCACCCAAAAATTCATAGCCCAATAAATATAATATGTGAATGATCAAATGATGGAAATGATCAGAGACTCGCTGACTAGGGAGAGGGATCCACCACCTTGGCATGCGTGTCGACACTGAATGATAAGAGTCCCTCACATCCTGGAGAGCGAGGATGAAACTTAATATCTTGATGGAGCTAGGTCAACATCATTTGATCGCGACTAATTAGGGCGTAACAAAGTATCTTGTCAACAAGAAAATGCATTATCCCGACAAATCCTTAATGTTGAACCCCATAATGATTTATGATTATGACACTTAAATCTTAAAAAGGACGGATGAACCCGATCAAGCACATCACTTCTTTTGAGTCGATTGCATGCCTCCTGAAGATTAATAATGCGCTGAAGAGCTGACTTTGTTTTGCCATGTTGATGTACTTGAGCCTTAGGTGGTTCAATGGGTTACCTCAAGGGGTAGTCACATCTTTTGTAGATTTCAAATGGATTTTTGTCATGCACTTCACTATTGCATAAAAACCTTAAAAGAGCTTAACATCTCTCTTACAGCTTTTTCAGGGGCATAGCGAAACCCTGCGTGCCTTCATCACCCTATTCCAGAAGAAAATTTTAGATGTTCGGGACCTGAAGCATATAGTCACCCATCCTGCCCTCTCTCAGGGATTAAAAAGATGGGCCTCTTCATTATGTGATGGGAATACATTGCCTGAAGACAATAGACAAGCCCTTGGAACTAACCAACAACCACATATCGGTAGAATAGTACAACTCCCCCTTGCTTCATTTAGAACCAAACAAACCAATCGTCACTTGCCGAAGAGAACCACCTACAGAGAAAAGTGGAAACTGAGACACAATCCTCGCCCTCCTACCCAAGCCCACTTTGAAAACTCACGATCACCCTTAGATGACTGGGTGGCCGAACGAATTCATCATCGAGGAAGTTAAATTCGGATCGCTAAACGTCAGCCAGGCTGACATATGTAGAGTGTCCACCACCTACTTACGAGTTCCCCAATTAGACTCTTCTAAGAGACTCAATGGCTGACATAATGAAGACCAATCAAAACAAGAACTATAGATCGTACAATTTTGAATACATAAAAAAATTAAACTAAAAAATGATCAATAGATTATTTGCATTGTTCTTTCATCCAACTAAATATCTAAAATTTAAAAATACCTATATTTTACTTGCACTACACCTAAATTTTAGGAGAAAAACATTATTTAACTCGACTCGTTACCTAAATATGACACAATGGTATCCAATCTAAGCTTATGGAACATCATTTGCACTCTATTAGTCTAAGAAATCGAGCAAAATTGGATAAAAAATCTAAGCAAAATAGCAATATATTCAATTAATTGTATGTGTTAGCTCCTCTAATTGAAAAATATTTTAATTCACTTTTTTCTTGACGTATGTGGCTTAAATTTGCATGGTGAAGAACACTTTTGCCGCACTTTTCCTTTTTTTATAATATTTTAATTAAAGTTTTATTATATTACATTTATGTATATCTGTGATGGCTTTTATCATTATAAGCAACATACGTGTTGGATAGTTTATCTGCCTTTTCAAGTTCAATAAAAGCTTAACATTGTATCAAACATCTCAAACAAAATTGACCAACAATAACCTTGATGTATCTTACAAGCATAACATCAAATTTAGTGATTATTTTTTATTTTACTTACATATCTCATATATTTTTTTTGTATTTACTTAGATATCCAACATCCAAAGTTTGACATTTACACTAAAAGAACATACTGGTATTGCGAACCTATGCGTGAAAGATTATTTCACTTTTAAAGATAGTGATGGTGATATTTTTAATATTGTACATCAAAAAGGTGATGGTGCTGATCTCACAGAGATCTAATGGTCCAGAACAAGGAAGCATGATGAAGGAAGATCTTGTGCAAAGCGATCACGGGATCGGTCGAGTTTGTAGAGACAGGTCAGACGATTAAAAAACTGACGTGAGGATAGTCGATCGATACCAAACAAGCAGCTCACCCAGAAGCTTGTCAGGAGAGCGTCCGTAACTCTAACCAAGAGAAAGCCGACTCGATGTGGAAGTTTATCCCGAAGGATCGTTTCGTCTAAGCATCTTCGAACATCTAGCGGTGGAACCCACCAAAGTTCGAGTGAGTGAGCCAAGCCAATCGGGCGTTACCAGCCAAGATAATCAATTGAGCTGAGCCAACCAAACTCAGTCGACTAAACAATGATACCGAGCCATAAACGATTACATAACGACTCATCATTTATAAAAAAAGTTCAATACCTTGTGTAAACTCCATCCAAATGAGGGCAAAAGTGTAATATCATTATTGTACTAAATCATCTATAAATAGACGTAGCATT